GCAGACCTCCTGATTATACCTGTCTTCAAAGACAGTTAATTACCTAAATACAAAGTTTAAACTTTACATTCACCTCTAATATGGTGCAAAGTGTTTTTGTGACAGCTGGATTGTGCTCATTAATTTTAAATGTTTCTGTAGGTTTTTAGCTATTTCCTCAAGTCAAATCTATCTTAAAAATTTAAGATTTGATGAATTCATCATGAATTCATCGAGAGGTCATCAAGATTTGTATATAATTCCTCAAAATAGTCCTTACATGTTTTGTCAAATGATAGTGTCATTGGCAATAAAATGTAAGTTTTTATAGTTTTATTTTAACTTTGTTGGAGTCATGGATCCCTAGGAGAATATGATGGAAGCTATCTTTTCCCAGAAAAATGAACATATGCACATATTTTGCATATAATTTTAAAAGATTTATGGATTTCTAGAATATATCCAGGGACACCCTCAAGTTAAGAACCTTTGTTCTAAGAAGACATCTTTAAAAGAGATAGCACTTATTTTGATATACAGTTTAGATGTATTTATTAAAATTTTAATAGATTCATCATTTATCTTCACAGCCTACATCTATACTTATTCTACATTTTCTAAAAAATGGTCTATTTTTTGGAACTTCTTTTTTATGTTCTTTTTAATTTTATTTTAAATATTATTTTAAACCTCTTCCAAGTTCCTGAATGTGGGGATTTTTTAATCTATAAAAGTATTTTTTTTTTTCTTGACCATCTTAAAAGCAAACCTATCTTTAGAACTTTCACTTGAATATTTTATTTAATATGTGCATTTGAAAAATATTCTCCAATATGGCATTGACCTTAAAGATTTTGAAAGTCAGGATCTACATATAAATTTAATTCCAGTTTTCCTCTATTAAAATAACATTGGCTGACTCTCAGAATTACTTGATTGCTGTTTTACATTTTAACATTATGAAAAGATAATTTTTAAAATTAAATAAAATTAGAATCCAAGATGCTGAAGAATTCAGTGTGTACAACTATATTTTTCATATAACTTTCATAGAAGTATTAAACTCTATTGATACTATATACACTGAATATATTTTTCTCTCTCTTTTTCTCATTATGAACAATGACTTAACATACAAATTCAGTGCAGTTTTCATCAACTTCTGAGGAGAAAGCTGCACTGTCATTTTAAAACCAGCAACAAAATAGAATACAATGGTACCCACACAGGATTTAAAATATTCAGGGTCAAGTCCAGTCTTGATAAAGTTTATGAGGCTGGAAATTCAAATAGCCTTTTCTTAAGTAGAGAAATTACCATGGAAATATCTTCCATAACCACCTGGTTATTTGTTCACACTACCATGAGCTTATATGTTTTATCTTACTTCACTGATGTATGTGCAAGTGGAACATTTCTGCAGAAGGGTTTACACGTGAAACAAAATGAACTTGTTGGTCTGGTTATACAAGAAAGTTATTCATGGGTCATATTGATGCGAAAGCCTATCACTACACAAAGATATGTATATTTGTTTGTATACACACATAGACCATAATCAAGCATCATATTTTATCAATAAAAAGATGCATATGTTTTCATAGATTTTATTTTGAAAATCAGGATATATCATAGAGTTGACAGTTCATTTGGCAGCGCTTTTTTTCCTTAAAGCTACATAAAACAATAATGTAAATCATAATGGATGATGTCTTGGATTCAATGCAATGCATTATCTAGATTAGAGCATATAAGATCAAAATGCACCTTAGTAATGTTAAGGCAATTCCCCCCAAGGAAATTGAAACTAAAGGGTGAATTAATTTGCTAAAGAAACATATTGTGGTGACAAAAAAGATACAATCCAGTGATTAATTTTTTTCAAATGACTTTCACTCATCTCATGAGATTCATTAGACTATACTGTATAAACCCAATGTAAGTCTTCTTTAAGAGGCATTTCTTATGTGCATGAAACATAATATTTACATAAGTTAGAAAGCATAATGAATTATTGTTCTGTATAGATGAATAAATTTCAGGTATATATTGCCATGTATATACATCTGCATTGCACATGCAGTCAGCCTCAAACTCAGTCAGCCTCAGCTTTCACTCAGCCTCAAAATTTCAGTCAGCCATAAGACTGCTAGGAATGACAAATGCACACTCAGCTGACGTCAACTGTTCCATGGGTATTACTTTCATTCGTTATCAAGCAAGACGCAGGAGACACTTATATAGTGCTGGCAAAGTGAAAGCCATTATTATTACTTATAGAAACCCAATAGTAAACAATAACAACAGATGTTCAAAGGAGAAACACTTACCTTTCCCCAAATTACCCACATCCATTTTTATGTTGCTGGATGACATGCTGTGGTTCAGGTTAGATGCTCTGTTCACATTACCACTGCCTCCGGCTACCACCATGCTGCCCAGAGGGGCCTGCATGACTGCAAAGGCTTCTGCTGTCCTGATGGGCCTTGCTGGGCCTTATCTTACAGGACAAACCTCTGCCGCTGGGCCCTTCTAGGCCTCTACTTCTGATTCTTGCCAAGCTACCCAGGCCATGTACTTGAGAGCCAGTGTGGCTCCTACCACAGTCCCCAGATTGGGGAAGTGTGTTATATTGGGAACACTCAGGCCTCTGACCTCCATGGGCAAGTGTTACAGCTTTTTAGCAGCAGGCAAACCTCATTTATGGAGGCACTAACATTTCTCTCCTTGAACCAGCAAGCTCACTGCAGCTGTCTCTCTATATATGGTTCAACCATCCCATCACTGTTGTCTCTTTCCATGGGCTGACCAGTTTATGATCTCTCTGGGTTTGTTGTCGTTTTTGTTGTTTTCACTCTTCTGAGTCTAGGAGATTCTCAGCACAGACATTGAGATGAGCTCTGCTCCAGAATCTTCTTGATAGTAGTGAGGTCCCTGACAACCTCTGTGGGACTGGCCTAGCAAGATGACAAAATCAACCAATTCCCTAGCTGAATTGCAAGGGTATCAATCCTATTGGGTGGATTTTCAAGCCACTACTAGCACAGTAAATTGATCAATCCCTAGGAAGACTGTGGGCAGACCAATTATTTTATGAGAGTTACAATACCATGTCTAGAAAGTCCATGTAAAAGCAATTAATTACACTGTAAGCTACATGCCAAATCTTGCATAATCTTAAAAAGTTGATGTTGAGAGAAATGAGTCTTGTACATAACTCCTTATAGAATGATATCATTTTCTATAAACAAGTAAAACTGAAACACTTTCAAAATTAAAATTTAGCCTGATGCAGAGACCTTTTTCAATCATTGCTCATTTTCACTGATAAAAAAATATATTCAAGGAATATTTTTTTAAATTCAAATGTTGGCTACAAAATTAAAATGGCATATTTTAATGGACATTGGTTTAAAATAATTTGACAAGAGTGAGACAACCTTTTGGAAAAAGTACCTATGCTCAATTTTGCTTCCAAATTTGGACTTTTAAACTTACTATCAGTTTCAGAAAGGAATAAGAAGCTGTGCAGATAATTAAACATTTCCCTTGGGGGATTGTTTGCAATTAATTAAAAACACACACTTTGGCTGCATACTTGCTTCATTGGTTATTAAATTTGAATCATATATTAACTACCTAGGTTTCTCACTTGTTCATCAAATATTGCGTGTGGCAGTTTCAAGAAACAAACATTCTCACAATATTCTAAACGATATTGCTTAAAGCCATGTTTCAATTTTTGAAGGGAGAAAGAGAAGAAAAGAAAGGAAAATAATTAGAAGGATTTACTTTAGACTCCAACTGATTTTACTCTGTTAGCAAGTTCTTACCTCTCAATGAACATCACCCAGTCCTATGTCATCTCCATGACCCTTGGGATATTGGAGTTCATTGTTGTGGTGATTATGTAAATTCATGTTACTGAGGGTTTCCTCATTTTCAATGACCTTCTACTTTATTAAACATAATGTCCTTTCCTAGCAAAAGGAGTGTTGGTGGCATAGTCCCTAAGACATCTATCTGACTGCTAACCAGAAGGCTGGCGATTCAAACCCATCAGCCACTTCTCGGAAGGAAGAGTGGGCAATCTACTTCTATAGAGATATTGCCTCAGAAACCTAAAGAGGGGTCACTATGAGTCAAATCAACTCAAGAGCAGTGAGTTTGGTTTTAATGACACATCTGGCATGTAGTTGGCCCTTAACTGATAATGTATTGAATGAATAAAAGACCTATTTTGTGTCTTTCTGCTGACCCAATCTTGTGTTTTTTTCTGATGTTTTTTTGAAGAGTCCCCAGAACATTTAAACATTTTTTAAAGAGTCTCAAAACATTCAGCAAGCAAACATTCAAAGCATTTTGAGCTTTGTAAGCATCCAGTCATTGGAGTCTTTCAACATGTTATTTTCTGTGAAGAATATCATATAATAGAGAAGATGTGCTTAAGCTGATTCCATGGTTAAATGTGCTGTATAAAGGAAAGGATGAATTGCACAGACCATAAGGTTTGCATTCTTCCATTGCTATTGTTCTACTGGAAAGGTTCCTGAGGAAGATTAACTTAATTACCCCTATATTTTTAAGGCTCTCTATCCAACATTTTCAAGGATTCAAGACTCCCATATGTGAGCACTATAGTAATGGAAGCATTAAGAACATTAAAATTAGATATTCCTTTAATCTTCTCTAATTTGCCTTCCTTTCATATCTATTCATACAATTCTCTTAAGACTTTCACTGATGTAAAAAGTCTGCTTATATGTTCTTTTTTGCCAAGAAGATGTTCAAACTATCCCTACCTTCTTTATCTACTTGCTGCCAACACTTCATGTGGCAGTATTTTAATGAAAAATTATTTATTGATGAAAATATTTAAGTTTGTTAATGATTACATTTTAAAAGCAGTAAATCATACCCAACTTCCCAAACGTAGTTTTATCTGCCATGTTAGTACTGGAAGCTGATTTATTTCCCAGATAGAAGTGCTGATTAAAGGTTTTGCTTGCTTGTTCTGTCAGATTCTATAAAGGATGATGATACAAAAAAAGATGAAGTAGCAGACCATTCTGTGCATGACCAAGATTATCCTAATGGTAATGGTAAGTTATAAAATCTTTTCAAAGTTGTTTGTTTCTTTTCTCAGCTTGTAAAAATTACTTTTTTGAATTAAAAAAAAAAAGATTTTGATCTTTTCTTCTGGCACAAAATTGAATTCTGGTCATTAGAGCAGAACAGCAGTGCTGTCTTCTTTAGATGGAACAGTTGTTCTTCAATTTGCCACAGTCCTCATTCTTTCTTTATGCCACATTGACTATATTTATTTTTGTTACATGCTTGAACCCTATAGTTACTAGGTTTGCAACTACTGAAATAAAGATATGATAGCAATGAGAATAAATGTAAGACATAATATTCATATATCATAAATCTATATATTATTGGAGGAGCTCTGGTAGCATAGTGCCTAAGGCACCTGACTACTAAACAGAAGGCTGGCTGTTCAAACCCACTGGACACTCCTCGGAAAGAAGGTTGGGCAATCTACTTCTGTAGTTATACTGGCTCAGAAACCCAAAGAGGGGTCGCTATGAGTTGGATCCGACTTTATGGCACATTACAACAACAACATATATTATTGGAATACCAAGAAGAAATAATGGAACAAACAGAAATGAAGCAAACTTTAGAAAAACCAGATAAAAATTTTCTTAATGCAAACAACTTCCTCTTCCCAAAACATGAGATTGCACATTCAATGTACTAGCAAAGATAGTGAAAACTTCAAAGGAGAACAGAAACCTACATTGCTTCATGGAATTTCCAAAGATCAATGATAAAGAAAGCTTCTAAATCACATAGGAAAAACCTAAAAATAGGTTATAAACAAATTCACTAAAATCATATTAACCTTTGCCTTCTTCTATTACTTTAAATGCTAAAAGCAAATAGAGTTACATTTCCAGATCTCGAAAGTACATAATTTCTATATTTAGTTATGTTATCCATGAATGAAAGCAAAAGTGATATTTTCTCATGAATACAAAGATTGGAAAATATGCTACCAAAGTATCCTTTCTGAATAAACTAACAAAATACCTATGCAAAAATAATAAATTCAGAATGGAAGGGAAGGCAAAATTCAAGACTGAGAAAGGCACAGTTAGAAAGGACTATATGGTAATTGACTAATGAAATGTATAAAAATGTTTAAATCATTCTTCCAAATTTTATATCAAAATGTATTACCAAAACATATGTCCTTTTCTTTTGAAATATAGTATGTATTGTTGAAGAATAAGAAATAAAGAAAGAAAAAACTTCTGCTTTCACTAGTGGAAGAATAGATAATTTAGACCAGTTCTGCCACTGAAGAACACTAGACAACAAGGCTCCAGAAAATGATTTTATAGAATCTGTTTAGCATTGGAGAGCTAACATGATAGTAAGGAATTGACAGGCCAGGTTTGGAAGAAGACAGAAATCCAGAGATGAAAACCCAGCATTTGAAACTGTTTTTACCTTACAGTGTAAACTGATTCTGCAAAAGAAGTTTGGAATTCTGTTTTTGAAAAAGATAAATGGGCCCAGGTAAACTCTTGTGTTTTGGATTGGAAAGAAGAATGTCATAGAGCTCAAGCCGTTTATATCAACAATATGTTAAATACTATGTGCGGCACATAACACACACACACACACCAAACAATGAGGAAATAAGGTAACATAGATCAAACAAAACAACAAGATCAATAAACCCTTAGGAGATGAATATGTTAGAGTTATAAAAACAAATGATGAAATAATTATGCTAACTATATTTATATAACTATATAACTATATATATAACTATATATATAGTTATATATATATAGGAACTCTGGTAGCATAGTGCCTAAGGCACTTGACTGCTAACCAGAAGGCTGGCGGTTCAAATCCACCAGCCACTCCTCGGAAGGAAGATGGGGCAATCTAATTCCACAGTGATACTGCCTCGGAAACCCAAGGAGGGGTCGCTATGTGTTGGGTCCGACTCGACGGCACATAACAACAACAACATATATAAGGAGATAAAGGCAAGATTGAGAATTTTAGCTGAGAATTGAAAAAAAGGAAAGAAAGAAAAGTCTAGAGCTAAAGATGCTATAACAAATTAAGAATTCAATGGATAATAGATTTCCAGCAAGATGGTGGAATAGCAGACAAGCTACAACAACTCTCTACAACAAGGAAACAAGAAAAAAATTGAAACAGATACAGAGGATAATACAGAGGATAAGCTTTGAGGGTAAAGATAAAGAGCTGAATTAAATATCAACTAGTAGAAACTGAATGAAAATGATGAATAAAGAGATAAATGGAGCTGTGAACTGTCAATTGACCTGACACTATAGCTATTTTGAATGTTTGCAAGTGGCGTTCCAATCTGGGCAGCCCCCAATAGTCTTCTCTGCTTGCCAAGGTCTACACAGGCAACCACACAGGTGGCTGATGACTAGAAAGGTGCAATATTCACCTTGTACCCCACCCCCTCCTGGTGAACAGAGGTGTGGCCATCTTCTACTCACCCACCTTCTAGACCCACAGGAATTCCATCCTGGACCAGGATGGGCAAGCAGGAACTGGTCCCAGGACTAGGCGCTCTGCTCTCAGCCATTTTTTTTGGCCAGTAAGAACTTCTAAGGCCAGACACCCTATACACTGCTGTCTTTTGAGCCAGCAGGAACTTTGTCTGCGACCTGCCACAGTTCCTTTTTGTATTGGCAGGAACTCCCTTTGGGACAAGGAACCTTGCTCCTAGTTGCCTTTTGAAGCAGCAGGATAATTTTCTTGCTCCAGGTGCCTTGTCCCAGCATCTTGTCCCCAGCCATGTTCTGGGCCAGCGGGAACTCATCTTGGATCAGGTACTTGCTTCCAGTTGCCTTTGGGTAGGAACTGGGCCAGAACTAGTTTGAGATCAGCTGCCCTGTTCCCAGCCACCTTTTTGGGACCAAAAAAAAAAAAAACCTCACTGCCATTGAGTCAGATCTGACTATAGTGACCCTTCCTTGGGTTTCCTAGGTGGTATCACTGTGGAAATAGATTACCCAACGTCCTTCTGAAGAGTGGCTGGTGGGTTTGAACCACCAGCCTGCTGGTGAGCAGTTACATGCCTTAAGCACTAGAATTTTTGGGGGGAGTAGAGGCCCTGCACCCAGCTGTTTTTGGGGACAGTGGGAACTTTTTCCTGGACCAGAAACCCTGGCCCCAGCTGCTTTTAATTCAACAGGAATTCTTTCTGGAACCAGGCACCTTGTTCCCAGGCACCAACTGGGCTGGCAGGAACTTTTTCCAAGTCCATGCATCCTTCCCTCAGACATCTTCTCGGTCAGCAGGAACTTGTCTGGGTCAGGTGCCCTGGCCCCAGTTACCTTCTGGGTAGGTAGGAACTATTGCTGGCTCTAGGTACACTATTACCCATCACCTGATTAACCAGAAGGAAAACTGCTCAGGTGCCTTGCACTCCCCACCACACCCTAGTTTTCTTTTCTTTATAGTTTTTAAAATTATTCTTTTTTTCCTCCTTTTTTTCTTTACTTTCCCTTCCCTGATCCTTCTTTTCCCCCATTTTCCTAGGTCTCTCCTTTTTCCTTTCTTTTCTTTTTCTCTCTTCGTTTTTCCCATACCTTGTTTTTCTTTTCACATTTCCTTATTTTTATTTACTATTTCTTTTTCTTAATCTCTTTTCTTTTCTCCCCTACCCAGATTATTTTTTTATTATTTCCTTTGTACTCTTTTTGTCTTCTTTTTCCTTATTTTTTCCCTTTAGATTTTTTCTTCCCTTGCTGTGGTAGTTGTTCTTGGTTTACGGTATTTGTGTTTTTTATTCTCTCACTTTTATATTTGGCGGTGGTGGTGTTTTGTTTGTTTTTCATCCCACCTGTCAGGAAATAGCAACAGTGCCCACAACACACAACCAAATCTGCACCTCCTGTAGCCCTACACATTGAGTGAGGGCCACAACCTGCTTCTGCACCAATTGATCAACAATAGATGGCAGCCAATACCAACCTAACCTGCCTTCAACTGCTATATATGAACAGATATAAGAGATCTGTACACACATTGTCATAGACGAGTAAACAAGCAGTGAATGCCTAAATGCTGCCAAATTAGTGAATAGCATAGCACACCATCCTCACTTTCTCAGACAAGTAAAAAGAAAAGAAAAGAAAAAATACCACCTAGGTGAATCACACCAATGTACGGTCAACAATTAATTAAATACAATAACATTACAATGCCTTACAGAGAACTGACAATCATAGTTCACACAAAGAAGTAAGATAAAGTAGTACAAACAAGACTACTTTTTTAGCCAGACAACCTTCCAGAGGAAGAAGTAACATTGAAACTACCTGACAAGGAATTCAAAAGAATTATATTGAGGTACCTTCAATGGATTGAGAAACAGATCAAGGAAAACATTGGCAAAATTAAGCAAAACACAGAAAAAACTCTAGAACAATTTAGGAAAACAATACAGGAATAAACTGATAAAAATTAATGAAAAAGTAGAAACCACACAAAAATGGAAAATGGAAATCTGGAAGATTAATAATAAGATTTCAGAAATAGATAACACATTGAAAAGGCAGAGAAGAAGAATCAAATTAATGAAAGACAGAATTAGTGAGACTGAAGACAAATCTCTCAATACCACTTTGTTAACAAAACAATCAGGAAAAAAAAGAACAAAAGTAAAACAGGAAGAAAGCCAAAGATACATATGGGACACATAAGAGGAATAACTTACATGTGATCAGAATTCCAAAACAAGAAGAGACTAATAAAACCACAGAGAAAATTTTTGAAAATTTTTGGAAGAGAACTCCCTAATACAATGAAAGACAAAAATATAGGCATTCAAGAAGTTCAAAGAACTTCAAACAGAGTAGACCTCCAAAGAATATCACCAAGGCATATCATAATCACACTTTCCAAAACCAAAGGCAAACAAAGAATACTGAAAACAGCTCAGGAAAAACAAAAAGTTACCTAAAAATGCCAACTGATAAGACTAAGCTCTGATATCTCAGCAAAAACCATGCAAGTGACA